TATATATATATATATATTTAATATTTCTATATAGCTTTAATTAATTTTATTTGGATTTTAATATTTTGTTTTATTTCAACTTTATGCCAATTACTACTTTCACTTATTTTTAATAGTTTATTAGGTAATTGTGCTTATATTTTCTGTATCACACAATGTCGACTCACTCAAAGAAAAAACAAAATAGCTACTCACATAAACAAGGGATATGCAAAATGGTTTCGTTAACATTGTATACTGTAAAGTTTATAAGACAATTAAATAGATAGGACTGAAAATCAGCTTGAAACCATTATGCCATCTTTATTCATTCATAATCAAATGTTTGATCATGGAAGAGTAAGGGACTGTCAGAAGGTAAATGTGAACTGTGTCTATGTCATGTGTTATAGCTTATAGGTTATTATATGTTATACACTACCAGTCAAAATGTTTAGAATTTGTTCATGTTTTTAAAGAATTCTCTTCTTTTCAGCATCATTACTCCAGTCTTCAGTGTCACATGATCCTTCAGAAATCATGCTAATATGCTGATCTGCTGCTCAAGAAACAGTTGTTATTATTATTATTATTTAAAACAGTTACAGTACATTTTTTCAGGATTCTTTGATGAATAGAAAGATCCAAAGATCAGCATTTATCTGAAATATAGAAATTATAGAAATGAATACTTTTACTTAGCAAGGATGTTTTAAATTGACGAAAAGTGATGATATACTGTTACAAAAGATTTCTATTTCAGATAAATCTCGTTCTTCTGAACTTTCTATTCATCAAAGAAACCTGAAAAATTATTCTCAGCTGTTTTCAACATAATAATAATAATAATAATAATAATAATAATAATAATAAATTAAATTTAAGATAAATTAAAATAGAGAACAGTTATTTTAAATCATTTGAAAAAATATTTCAAAGCTTTACTGTTTTTGCAGTACTTTGGATCAAATAAATGCATGCTTGGTGAGCAGAAGAGGCTTCTTTAAAAACATAAAAAATCTCACTGTTAGTAAATGTGGTTTGATAAGACTGATATGTAGACTACATTCACTTTAAAAAAAAAATATTGTGAATTTGTTATATTTAGTTTACGGCTTTAAAATGTTTATTTATATTTTGAGAAATGAGTTGTATAACAAGTTGAAGAGTCATCTGTTGCTATTCCATGTCAAACCGCATGGTGGCACTGAAGGCTGGTTACCCATGAGCTCCTGCAGCACAGTCGAGGAAGAAGGTTCCAGTGGATTTGACATTCGTAAGCGTGAGTCGCGTGACTGGAGAGCGACTGTACTGCAGCCAAAGTCGTCGGATGCACAATGTCCCAGCCGTCTCCAGCCGACCCTGAACGGCCAGGAAATGCAGTCGTGGTGTGTTTGGTAACAGGCACCACCTATAAAGACAGAAAATGATAGAGTGATGTTGCCAGGTTATGCACTGTAATGCTGAATGCAGCTGGTCTGTAGTCTAACATATCCAGTAGACCTGCTTATGCATGAATGCATGCTACATCTCACCTGTCTTACCATTGTAATATTATGTTTTTGGACATTTATCATTGTGATATTTTTGAGGGGTTTAAAAAAAAGTCTTAAGTGCTATTTAGCCTAATCGTCATAATAATAATAATGGGAGTATTTTGTGTGTGTGTGTGTGTGTGTGTGTGTGTGTGTGTGTGTGTGTGTGTGTGTGTGTGTGTGTGTGTGTGTGTGTGTGTGTGTGTGTGTGTGTGTGTGTAGGGTCCCGTAGGAATTGACTACATCCCCACAGAGGAGGAGAGGAGCATGTTCAGGGAGTGTAATCAGGAAAGCTTCTGGTACAGATGTGAGTGGATGTCCAGTGCTTATTTTCATTATCTTGCTTGTGGTTTTGTTGAAATCATAAGTGAATGATGTTTCTTTCTTTACTTTCCTACAGCACTCCCCATATCTGCCATCAGCATGGCCTTCACTCAGTTCCTTATCTCTAGAGGTGGGTTTATACTTTATGCATAGGATAACATATTTCAAATAAATGGTGTTCTGAATTTTTTTTTTTTACCAGTTTTCACGCGCACAAAAAAATTCAGCACTGATAAAAATAAGAAATATTTCTTGAGCATTAAATCAGCATATTAGTATGATTTCCGAAGGAGCATGTGACATTTAAGATGAGTAATGGAACTTAAAATTCAAAACAGTTATTTTAAATTGTAGTAATATTTTTCGCAATATTACTGTTTTACTGTATATTTAATCAAATAAATGTGGCCTTGGATGAGCCTAATTGATGTAAAAGGGGTCATATGATGCTATTTTAAAGAACATTATTTTGTGTATTTGGTGTAACAGAATATGTTGACATGCTTTAATGTTCAAAAAACACATTATTTTTCAAATACTGTACATTATTGTAGGTCCTCTATGCACCGCCTCTCTTAAACACGTTGTTTTCAACAAAGCCCCCTCCTTTGACAAGCGCAGTCTGCTCTGATTGGCCAGCTGACCCAGTGCATTGTGATTGGCCGAACACCACAAGCACGCGTCGGAAATGTAACGCCGCTTACCATAATCGCAGCTTCAGCTTTCAAAGTAAATATCAAGTCGTTAGTTTTACCATCAGTTCAAGCCCGAAAGGGCAACAGAGTCGCGTGACAGACACAGTGATCTTTGCCCAAAGTTGCTTGTGAGTACAATTTACTCTTACTGAGATGAATAATTGATAGACTGAATATTAAAAGTATGTATCGATGTGTTAAATATGTGTTAGTTGCTGGTGTTTTTGGCTACCTGGGAGGGAAGATGTCATACATGAAGACATGCCAGGAGAAATTTAAGAGCTTGGAGAATTCGCCACTGGGGGAGGCACTGAGACAGAGACAGAGACAGCACCACCAACCACCAGTGTGAGCACAACATGAGCAAACAGGAACATGCAACATTTAAGTGTAGTGTGCCATTTCTGTGCCACTAGCATTCCCAAATTCTCAAAGGATTCTTTTATGTTCCACAGAAGATATTTTGAAAAATGCTTCTTCTTTTTTTTCTTTTCAAACAGTGGTCAAAATCGTTGTCAAAACTGTTTGGTAACTAAAAAAGGATTTTTCCCACATAGTTTTTTTTTTTAATTTTTTTTTTTTCAGGTTTACCCATAAGCACCCGGAAATGAGTGATCCAAACAAAACTGATTTTGAGCCGGCCTTTCAACTTGATGATCAGAGGAATCAGTCATTGTCCTATTCTAGCGATTTCACTAACAGTGACCCCATGCCCTCAGCAGCTCAATATGACACTCAAATGACAGGTAAGTTAACTCATTCCCCGCCAGCGTTTTTGAAAAGAGTTGCCAGCCACCGCCAGCATTTTTGATCACATTCACAAAAATTTCATGACCCCCAAAATATTTTGTTGTATGCATATCTGAACAGAGCCTCTACCATTAAAAAAAAATGGTATTAAAGCATTATTTTTTTATCAACACTTGAAAGTTTCTTTAAAAAAAGCTGAGAAATTTTGAGCAAAAAGCTGAGAAAATTGCATTTTTACCAAATACTACATCTGGATCATATTCAATACGATGATCAAAGCAAAGATTCAGTAGATCGCTTCCATCAGCACCCCCAAATCATGCACAGTCCATTGCCACTTCCTGGATCATTTCACATTTCACCTCCACATTTCACTCTGTAACATTTCCCAGTTTGCCTTTAAATGCTGTTTATTGTTGATGATCGCATTATTTTTCATATGCATCCGCTTAGTACACGATCGCTCATTTCTGCATCTTCCTCGTTTATGTTTTTGATCGGGACATTCTGGACTCATTCAGGAGATGCATAATAGCGCCCCTCGAGCATATACCAGTGAGAACGCAGAAACCCAGAAAATTCTGTGTTTGGCGGGGAAACATGCCAGGAGAAATTTAAGAGCTTGGAGAATTCGCCACTGGGGGAGGCACTGAGACAGAGACAGCACCACCAACCACCAGTGTGAGCACAACATGAGCAAACAGGAACATGCAACATTTAAGTGTAGTGTGCCATTTCTGTGCCACTAGCATTCCCAAATTCTCAAAGGATTCTTTTATGTTCCACAGAAGATATTTTGAAAAATGCTTCTTCTTTTTTTTTCTTTTCAAACAGTGGTCAAAATCGTTGTCAAAACTGTTTGGTAACTAAAAAAGGATTTTTCCCACATAGTTTTTTTTGTCATTTTTTTTTTTCAGGTTTACCCATAAGCACCCGGAAATGAGTGATCCAAACAAAACTGATTTTGAGCCGGCCTTTCAACTTGATGATCAGAGGAATCAGTCATTGTCCTATTCTAGCGATTTCACTAACAGTGACCCCATGCCCTCAGCAGCTCAATATGACACTCAAATTACAGGTAAGTTAACTCATTCCCCGCCAGCGTTTTTGAAAAGAGTTGCCAGCCACCGCCAGCATTTTTGATCACATTCACAAAAATTTCATGACCCCCAAAATATTTTGTTGTATGCATATCTGAACAGAGCCTCTACCATTAAAAAAAAATGGTATTATGGTATTAAAGCATTATTTTTTTATCAACACTTGAAAGTTTCTTTAAAAAAAGCTGAGAAATTTTGAGCAAAAAGCTGAGAAAATTGCATTTTTACCAAATACTACATCTGGATCATATTCAATACGATGATCAAAGCAAAGATTCAGTAGATCGCTTCCATCAGCACCCCCAAATCATGCACAGTCCATTGCCACTTCCTGGATCATTTCACATTTCACTCTAACATTTCCCAGTTTGCCTTTAAATGCTGTTTATTGTTGATGATCGCATTATTTTTCATATGCATCCGCTTAGTACACGATCGCTCATTTCTGCATCTTCCTCGTTTATGTTTTTGATCGGGACATTCTGGACTCATTCAGGAGATGCGTAATAGCGCCCCTCGAGCATATACCAGTGAGAACGCAGAAACCCAGAAAATTCTGTGTTTGGCGGGGAAAGAGTTAAATTATTATCAATGTTGAAAACGGTGCTGCTTAATATTTTTGTGGAAACTTTTTTTTTTAGGATTCTCTGATAGGAAGATCAAAAATGAATATTTTTAACATTATACGTTTTTACTGTCACTTGTGATAATTTTTTCATCAACTTGCTAATTCTGATGTTATCTAAAGTTATATAAAAATTATGTTCTGTATTTCTGTAAGTAAGAATAGTGTTTACATATAATAGCTTAGAAAACGTTTTGATATATTTTTTATGTATTATTATTCATATTTTTTTTTTTTTGGTAAACAGGGAAGAAGAATATATATGGAGACACATGGGAGGAATGAGAGCTGCTTCAACACTGTTTCTAGAACCGTTGTCTGCAACTGATGTCTTTTACAATACAGATGTCTAACTGTGTCTGAGAAATGTCTGTCATTGACTGTGTACCTATTTAATTTAGTTAAAGACCATTTTTATTTTTAAACTTTGTGCAGCATAAAGGAATATTTCACCCTCAGTTGCTGATGCCCATTGACTTTTTAATAGTATGGAGAAAAACTGAAAGAAAAAAAAAAGTCAATGGGGACCAACTGAAGGTGAACTATTCTTTTAATACATTATCTAATAATAGCAAGATTTTTTAACTTTATTTTTTATTTTTTAACATTCCTGGAAGATTGGTGCTTATGCACACACTGAACTGGTCCCAAAGTTCCATTAGCACTGCAGTCCAGTTGCTAGTATTTTTGAGTTTTTAGCACATCATGAAGTTGATATTACCGTCTACAAAACTGTATGAAGTTTGTCCCTGATTGTCATTTCATAATTACAATCGCAGGAATCATTAGGTCAGCGGCACATTTGTTTCAAGAATGAGTTATGTTCTCTTTAATACCTGAGATTCATAACCCCCCAATCAGAAGTATGAGCAATTATTAGCAGATACAGTTTTGCTAAGACAGACTACACCACAATAATTATGGTAAAATAATTTGACATTAAACCCTTTGAATTTAAACAGACATCACAATATACAGTAGGCATACAACAATCATAATTGAATGGGGGGGGGGAAAGAAACACAAATATCAAGTTGGGCATATTTTATTTCTGTACACACATTGTACATAAATACACTGAAATTATTTTTTGAAAAATAAAAACGATGTCCCTGGGATTTGGGATGACATCAGATGAGAGATAAAGAATTGTAATTTCAGTAATAATATCGCTAATCACACACACATACACACTTCATAAATTGCAAGTTTTGAGGTCTAATAGGACCAATTGTCTTAAGAGTATTGGGATGTAACTGTTTTATTAACCTACAATTGGATACATTTACACAAATATATTCCACTAAGAGAAAATGCCTGCATAGAACACCTGACCCAGGATTGAATCGATGAAAAAACAAAAAAATATTAAAGGGGTCCTATTATGCTCTTTTACAAAGACTTGATTTTGTTTTGGGGGTGTACTAGAACAGGCTTTCATACTAGGTTGTTCGAAAAACACATTATTTTTCACATATTTTACATTATTACAACACCACTCTCCCCAGTCTGGCATGAATGACTCGAATAGTTCCTGTATCAAATGAAGGCCCGCCTTATGAAATACGAAATGTGCTGTGATTGGTTAGCTGGGCCAGTGTGCATTGTGATTGGCACCACTCGGCACCTGGTCGGGAAATGTCATGCCCCTTACCATGCTAGCTTCAGTGTAAATATTGCATCAGTATCAAATCAATTTGAGCGCGATTTAAACCCGGATGATTGTAATCACTCTAAGTTCATCTGCCTTGGGAAAGCTAGTGTGTCTCCGACATAGTGATAACACTCGTTGCCTTCTCTAGTGCAGCTCAACCAGGTCTCGTCCCATTCGTCAATATTTGTGATATCACAAATCCCGGAAAATATGCGTTGTTGTCCAAACGAGTCGCTCGTTGTAGTTTTTGAAAAGTGATTTCTGTTAAATAGAATATCTCCTTTTGAAGTGGACTTTGAGCTTTGTAACTTTGCAGATCTTTTTTATGCTCAAACAACAACATTACTGACTAACTAAAGTTGCGTAATAGGACCCCTTTAAATAAAAAGTATTTCTGTCCTGGAGAAACGCCAATATTTGTGGGTTCATATATATAAAAAACAAACAAACAAAAAAACATAACTATTTTTTTTATTTAGTTTGACCCCCCAATAATTTGTTTTAATGAACTGTTTAACTTTAACCAAACAAAATTGTGAGAAAGTTGATTTGTCTCACTTGTGAACCAAATGACAAACAAAATATCTTGGGGACAGACAGAAATAAATCACCCACACACACACAAATCAAGAAACAAACATTTGCTGCTCTTCTTTTTAAACTGAGCAAGTAAACAAGGATAAAAAAATACTCAAAAACAGCAAAACAAATCTAATCTGTGCTGCATCACTACCAATAGGTGCACCTGGACCACATCAGGTCCATGACTTCAACTAGACTCCAAAGTCCTGTCAGAGTCTAGATGGTGCGTGGCACAGTCAGTGTTTGATTGTCTTTGTATATAGATGATCATTTGTAAGAAGGAGAGATGGGGAACTATGTATTGTGCATTGACCGTGTCCATTTGGCTCTCGGCTAACTGAAAATCCGTATCAATCATTCCTAACATCCATCTTTTTTTTAATTAATACAATAAAAGATTTTAATTCTACAGTTGTCGCTTCTTCAAGCCATTCTGCACTGATCCGTTCCACAGTGTCGGCAACAGGACGTCACTTAGCTAGTGCACACTGCGCAGTCTGTGTGATCTGATTAACGTATAGTAGACGTTCCAGTTTGGAGCTTCAGAAGTTACTTCCCGTGGCTTCCCCGCAGACTTCGTGTAGTCATGTGACAGTAAAGGTCTCTCTGTGTGTATTCATGCGCTTGCAAAACCAAAACGGTCTGTGCGTATGTATGTGTGTGTTGTAAACAGTGCTTTCTCGTGAGGAGTGCTGTAAGTGGCGCTCGGACGTGAGGGGAGTCTCTTGCTCAGAGTGTGGAGGGAAAAAGGACGAGGCCACATGATAAGACCATGACAGTACCGGAGAAAGGCACCTCAGGAAGACCACGCCGGTGGGATGAGCTCCAGCCCGCCACTGCTAATCCGGCCTGAAGATGGGAATCTTGGGTAGAAACTCTATTAGGATTACCTAGAAAAAGGACAGAGAATGTGAAATTACGCATTTCACGGTTTATTGTATTTGAAACAGTCACTGTGCAATTAGATCAGGGCGTGTTTGTAGTTGGCTTACATATTCCATCATGTTGTTCGTGTCACACTTCCTTTTGCTGAGCCTCCAATGCAAACACAACTAAATGAACAGAGGGCATGTAGTAAAATTAGCACCAGACAGGAAAATACAAACAGCAAACAAGCAAGCAACCTTGAAAATACCTTGTGATACAATCTGC